TCAAAGTGTTAACCTAGCTCTCCAAAGCGCCAGTGCGAGCCTCTCCGAAGGAGAGGTGAAGCACTGGTAAGTAATAAAGTATCAACCATAACTGTTGTCTTCGTTGTATAGCCTATCTAGATACTACTTTCTTCGGATACCTCATGTACGAGAAATAATTTTGCAAACTTTAATTTTAAACTTTTAACGAAGATTTAGAGGATAGCCGGTGTGATTTTCACGCTCATATGAGTGAGAATTAGATCATTATATTTACCGGCATACACTTCTCCCCCGCAGTGTCGCCGACTATACACCTCAAAGCGTTGTAAAATTCGTTCTCACAGCACACCGTTCTTATTCCATAAAATCTCTACAGACATTGAATACGAGGTGATCAATAGATCATTCTCAACACCTTCACTGGAGAGCCGTATCCCCCAAAGAATAGTGTATTGGTTTTCATTCCTTCGTTCACCAAAGCCTTACGCCCTGTATAAATTTGTTACACTTCTGTATGGTTGTAAGCTCGTAAGCGAAAAGTCATTGAACTTTGAGCACATAATATTTTGAATTAAGGGCTCGGTAGGAATTAAATGCATGGTGTAACGCAGGAGATATCACCCACAGCCAGAGTGAACCTAGATGTAACGAAATCGTTTAGCAGAGACATGTTTGACTGGAGGCTGCCAGCAAAATTCAAATCATAAATTTATAGGCTCCGAAACCTAGGTAAATGGAAAAGGTTAGAGGGACGACGTGAGAGTTTTCGATGCAGGTAGCACCTCTTGATTGGGGATGTAGAAGTGACACGGAGCAGAACATGTCTAATGATGCGCAATGTTAAAAACTATAGATCAAAAATATGTTTGTTATATGTATAAGTTTTTTCTAAGAAATGTAAAGCGTTGCAGGGTATCAATATTAAGTGAATAAATATTCTTATGTGGCATTGGGAAAACCTGATCAAAGCTCTTGTTATTTGAACAAGGTACATCGACAATACCAACCAAGTGTCATGTAGCTGGCCATCAGCACGTGGCTGATTCCACTTCCTAGCGACCCTACAGGTC